TGCGCTGGCGCCGACGGCCACCCTCGGCTCGGGACGACGACGACGACGGCGGTATGGTGTAAGCAGAAGTCATCCACCTCGCGAAAGTGAAATCTGCGCACCTGGCGTGCCATCACTCAAGTTCAATGGCAAGGCCGCCCCGCCCCACCCCGCCCCATCCCGGTGGCTGACCGGCATTACCGCATACCGCTGCAAAACACGGCCCGAGTGAGGCGTGGAAGGAAATGCGTCGTGGCGTGGCGTGGCGTGGCGGGGCGGGGGGGGTGTGTGTGTGTGAAAGCGCCGCTCGTCTTTTGATTCGACCCCCGCCCAAGTTCCCCGACGACGACGCCGTGCCCGGCAAAACCAATATCCGGGAAAACAATCGATTAGAGAATGGGAGGAGGGGAGAGGGTTACGCCGAATATGCACCAAAACGTTTACCTGGACTAGTTTCCCTGACAAAGAGGCGCGCCACATCACTGCGCAGGTATAATCACACGTTGACAGCATTCCGGCTGGTTGTGGATGTGTACATATTTAGCCAGTTTCGTGGACGTTCGTCGTCGGTCCTCTGCGGCGCAGCGCGGCGCGGCATTTCTCGTCAAACCCAAGGGCCTCGCCTCACCCCGCCCACCCCGCGCGCGCCCCTCGGGGGTAAATGGCACGGGATGGGTCCCCCGCAGCGTGGCATGGGGCCAGCACGACCCGCACGGCCCGCGCGGCCCGCGCGGCCAGCACGGCAGCAGTGGGTCACGGCGAAGGGCCGCGGTGCCGTGGGTGCCGTGGCGGCGGCAGGGCGGCCCTTCCGCGAAATGTCACCGGCAAGGGGTTGGGGCGGCGAGCAAACGCGTCCCTCCCCCGCGACGAGGTCGCCGATAAAGGGAAGCGCCCGTAGAAACGGAAGCAGCGTGTTTCGTTTTTCGTTTTCAATTTCCACGCAGCGGGTCGCATTCCCTCGTGCGCGACAGCCGGCAGCGCGAGCAGCAGCAACAGGGTGCCCCGAGGGGTGCCCCGAGGGGTGCCCCGAGGGGTGCCCCGCAGAGGGCGTGTCAGTCAGCCTGCAGGGCGGGCCACCGCTGGGGCTGCACGCACCGACGGAGAGGGTTGCCTACCCTGCAGGGGACCCGGCCAGCCACCCCGCGTCGCGCCGCTGTCTATCTACACACGCCGGGGCCGAGGGCCGACGGCCTGGCCGCGGAAGGGAACAAAGAGCCCCGCGGGTCGCGGATGTAGGTCAGTCGGCGTTCGGCGCGGGGCGCGGGGTCGCGGCTGCCCAGCGCCCGGCGGACGTGGGGTGGCCGAGGGTGGCGCGTGCTGCGCACCTGCCGCAGGGGGGCAGCCTGGCCGCCTGGCTGCTGGGCGGCGGCATGGCGTTGCGGCATAAGCCGCGAGGTGGCCGTCGAAGGGTCGAGCGCCAGCCGCGGCTTGCCGCACCAGTATGAATGGGCGCATGATGCGCCGCGTTTTCGCAGCTTTCCCGGCGGCTTGACACCTCTCTCGCACACATCGAGCGTCCCGTGTGCGTGCGAGAGAGACAGCCCGACGCGTCAGCCTGCAGCGCGCGGCGACGCCCGGGCGCCTCCAAGCTAATTAACGGAACGTGGGGGCAATGGGGCCGCGCTGGCGTGGCCGACGACGACGTGAACGCCGCGGGGGCGGCACGCGTCTAGAAAAAGGGGAGGGGGGAGTGTTCTGCTCATCGCCATGCAGCCTCGCGCTGTACATGACGTCACCGGTATCACAGACTCGAGTGGGCGGGCGTCGGAGCCGCCGAAGGAAGCCGCCCGGTATATCCAATGCAAATATTTGCATTTCATTCTCGCCCCGCCGCCCCTGGCCGGTGGCGTCGCTTCTTTTCTCTCCGGACGGGGCGACGGCGACGGCTTAAAGGCCCGGCTGGCGCCGGCAGCGCCGTAACGGCCTTGTTGACTGGGGATGGGGCAGCGCCGCAGCGCGGCGAGACGCGTGCGCCAGGGCCAGTCGCTGTGCCCAGCCCGCCCAGCCCGCCAGCCGGGCCGGATCGACCAACGTCGGGATTTAGTGCTCCAGGCGCCAGCCTCGCCAGCCACCCCCCGCTCGTGTGGAAGAATGTGCCAGTGCCACAGTGTAGGCCCAGCGGGTCCGGGGAATGCGCAATTGCCGGAAATAAAGGGCGTCCCACTCGCGGGGGAGGGGGGGATGAAGCGCCGCGCCAGTCAACTAGTGCGTGGAGCTGCACGCAGCGGGCAGCGGGCCGTGCCGGGCTGGGGAGCTGGCGGTCCATTCGCAAGGTATTCACGCCAACGCCGCCCTGCTAGGCCCCGTCGCCGTCGCCAGCCGTCTGATTCCGAACACTGCTTCGTCGCTCTGTCTCTCTCGCACCCCTACGGACCGCCCCATGAGTGCGAGAGAGACAGAGCGACGAAAGCAGTGCTCGGAATCAGACGGCTGGAGAGAGCAGCGGGACCGCCGCAGCCTCGCGCCATACCTGTTGCCGTCGCCGAGACATCCTCCATCCTCCGCCTTGACGACGTCGCCGCCGGAATCGGCCTTCTCGCGCGCGTCAGGTGCGCACCGCGGCGCACCGCGCACGGACTCGAGAAGCAAGCAAGCAAGCAAGCAAGCAGCGGACGGACGGCTGCCTTGTCATACGGCTGCCAAGGCCGGGCCGGGCCCGGCGGCGTGCCCGCCTTCAGGTTGGCGAGGTTTTGAGTGACACTCGCTGTGACATTGCGTGGCCAGGGAGGGTAACGCGGTGGCGTGGCGTGGCGGCCCGGAGAACAACAGCGCTATTACCCGCCAGTCACGTACACTGCCGACAACCGGCCGGGCCGCGGATGCCACCGAAAAAGGCACGCGTGCGCTCGGCGTTCGTTTCTTCGCGTTCACTTCACACTGGAAGATGTTACGCGTCGTCAGGAACCCTCCGGTGGGGGCGCGGCGTTCGCGGCCACCCCGTGCAAAGGCTGGCCGTTGTAGAGCAGGACGGGGAACAATGCGAGCAAGGCGAACAAGGCGCTGGGTGTCCGCAGTGTCCGCAGCGCAGATGACACAACAGCGACGCCGTGCCAATTAGCAGGTCAGCCGGGCTGGGCAGCCAGCGCCTCTAAGTGGACTTCAACGATCCGACCGACGCGACGCTCGCCTTCCCTCGCCCCGCCTGCCTGCCCACCGCGGCGCTACGCTGGCTACGCTGCCCCCTCCTCTCCCAGGTCCGCGGTCCGCGCGCGTTAAGCCGCGCCTCGAAAATCGCCACATGAGCCGTGAGTCATAGGCAGGCGAGAAACGTCACCGCGAATGCATGGTCGGTCGGCGCGGAGCGACGCCGGCCGGGCCGAAGCAAAGCAGCGAAGGCGAAAACCAGGAAGATGCGATTCTTGGGTTGGCACGTTGGCACCACCACGGTGCAGGCACTGGCACTGTTTTGGGGACGCGCTGCTGCCGCGCCGCCCCCGCTGGGCCCCTGCCAATACGGCGGGTGGGGCCGAGCGAGCCCTGCACTCCACCCTCACAGAATAACTTCCAAACCATCAAAACGTCAGAAAGTACGTAACATGAAAAAACTACGAAAACACACACAAAAATAATAAATTACGCAAGGCGATAGTAGTTTTCTTCCTCTCTGCCTCCCCGGGCCACGGAACCGAGCACGATGCAGCCAGAATTAGGCCCTCGGCTTCCCCGCAGCCTTCGCGGCGCCACGCCGCGCCACGCCGCGCCACGCCACGTCCTTGCGGCCGAGCAAGCCAAGATGTAGCAGCGGCGGAGAGGAGCAGGCACTACAGCAGCGGCAGCGGTGGGCAGCGAGAGCTACAGGGCAGGCCAGGGCTAGGCAGCGCTACGCCGCGTCCAGAAACTCGTAAACAAAGCCTTCGGCGACCGGCTGCACAACCTTGCTCTTAAAAAATATTTACAATTCGGGACATCGCACAACTCGAGCTTGCAAACCGGCTCGTTCTCTACCAAAGCGACAGAGCAAAGAAGCAAAATTTTGACGAAATTCATCACCTTGAACATAACCGATTCTGTACGTATGGTACGCAGCTGCCCACGGCCACACTGCCAACACACACGTCAACATTTAGTCGTACTTTTCTACAACTGTATCGGTTTCCTGATGGTTGTGTGGTTTGCGTCCTGCGCCAGGTCCTCCGCGGCGGAGAGTTAAATGCCCGCACAGCGCACCGCGAAGTCGGCAGGGCACTTTACGCCGAGGATCGATTCGCACCTTCGCACGGAGGCAGTGCTTTGTTATCGGAAACGCGCGGTTGGTTTTCATTCAGTGGAGCTGCGTGCCTCCAGCTCCAGCAGCTTCCAGGCGGCCGGGCCGGGCCCCTCACGCACGCGGAGTCCCAGAGTCCGAGAGTTGGACGGCGGCCACCTCTCTGGCCAGCGTTCAGCGCGGCCCAGTAATAACACTCTAACGACCGGAGATTTCCAGCTGTGCCGGCCAGCCAGCCCGAGAGCCAGCCGCACGGCTGGCCGCGCGGCCACGTAGTCGAGTAGCAGCGACGCGCCGGAAGTACCCCGCGATGCACGGCTAGCGCCCCGCCCCGCCATGCACCGCGGCCAAGCGTGCAGCCTGGACCCGGAGTTTCCTAATTACTGCAGCACCGCTCTGCCGCCCGAGGACGCTCTAAATTTGCTGGTATTTGTTTTTCGGCGCGGCCGCGAGACTGCGAGACCCACACGGCGCGCTGCGGTCGCGGCACGCTTGTGGCACGCTGTGGCACGCAGGGCGTAGGCGCCGCGCCAACGGACGGGCTGGCGGTAGGCGTCCTGGCGTCCTGGCGTCTCGGAGGGCGTGGCGCCGCGGCCGGCCGCGGCCCGCGAGAAAGCGCGCCGAGGACTTCCCTGGCGGCAGGCTGGCGTGCTCGGGTGGAGGCAGCCCTACGGGACTGGCGACCACTGCGCTGACTGCGCTGCATTGCGACACCGCGCTGCTGCAGCCTGCTGGACTTGTTGCCCTGACGCCACGCCACGCTACGCGGCGCTGCACCCCCGGGGCTGCACTTGACGCACTGCACTGCACTACTCACCGGGGTGGAGGGCCGCGAGGGCGACGAGGCACACAGCCAGAACACTCAGGGGCGACATGGTGCTGCTGTCGTTGTTGTTGTGGAGCTGTGGGGCACACAAACACACGAGGGCACGGAGGCACGGAGGCACGAGGTTGACGGGTCGGGGCGCGCACTGCTACTGGCCAGGCGAGGCGGGCGAGGCAGGCGAAGCGCAGCGCGGGGATACGAACCACGCGCGCCAGCCCGCTAGCCTCGCGCCACCCTCCCTCCCGCACCGCGCGCCGCCTCGCCGCCTCGCCGCCTCTCGCTCTCACCCACGGCCCAGCCGCGCGCTCCCTCTCTCTCGCCGCGTTGGCGCGCTGCGGCGATGGGCGGACTGCGCTGGTGACTGGGCCGGCCGGTGGTGGGGGCAGCGGGGCAGCGTGGCACAGCGTAGGCTGTCCTTCCCCCTCCCCCGCGTGGAGCTCACTCCGGCCGTACCCGCGGCCCGGACCCTCCCGAGGTACCTTCGGCAACCTATCGGGCACCTTCGGCCAAGTTTGGACAAAGCGTCATTTCCAGGGACGACGCTGTGTGCGGGGTGCCCGTCCGTACTGCCCTCGCATGACTTGAAAGATACGACTTTTGACGAACACTGCGTCCAACCCAGGCCGGGTGCATCGAATTACCTCTTCCCTTCGTTGTCTTGATGTTTACTTTTGTGGGTAGCGTCTTTCTCGGCCTAAACTCGCCGCTGAAGGTCGCCTGTACCACAACGTGTTAGTACATATATCTTTCACCCCTAACATGAGTTCATCATTGCATCCAGTAACCTTTACCCGATGCCACTCTAGAAAGTATCTCTTTGACACACAGCGTCGGCTTCAGCATCATCAGCATCGCCACCGCCTTTTAAACCGCCGCCCGGAGTGGACTCTGCGCGACTCCGGCCAAGGGCGGCGACCCACCGCACATCTGCAGGCAGTGCGTGAGACAGAGACAATGCCTGCATGTGCGGCACGGCATGCCCTGCAGGACGGCAGCCGCGCTTCCTGTTGGCCGTGTGGTGCCTTCGATAAGGCCGGGGCGGCCTCCCCAAGAGCCTCGCGACGACGCGCGCCCTGTATCGCAGGGCTAATGGGGCAGTGGGCTGTCAGCGCGGGGCGCGGGCTGGTCGTCGACCCCACCTTTATGTGCATAGTCTCATTAAAAAGCCTGCTTTGTTTACAGTGTCTCTTTTTCCGACGGCTGCTTCGTGGCGCTGAGCTAAACAGGGCCTCACACCGGCACGGCGGCGCGGGTACCTGCTTCATCAAGCCGAGGGGTGGGGGAAGGCCCAGCCATGGCATGGCCGGCCCAGCGTCGTATGGCACTTCATAACTAATGGCACCCAAGGTGAAGGCAAGGAGAGCCGTCCGCCGCGCCCCACCTCGCGTCTCCCTGTCTCTGTCTCCCCCGCGCGAGCGAGAAGCAGTGGAATAAACGAAAAACAAGCACGCCGCCTTCCGGACGCGAACCCGGGCCAGGGCAGCCAGGGCGTGTGGACGCGACGGAGACGAAAAGCTCGGCTCGTCCGCCATGTCGGTTGTCGGTTTCGGTTTTCGGTTCGGGGCGTCGTTGAGGGGCGCTGTGCGCGCTGTGCGCTGTGGGAGGGGGGCTGCCTGGCGGTGCTGGCGGTCGCGGCCGCGAGTCGCGCGGCCCCCGCGGCACCTTTGGCGCCATCTAGCGCCAGGAGGCCGCACCAGCACGGCTGGACCCAGCGGCCTGACGGCCTGGTACCCGCGGACCCGCGGCCTGCCCGCGGCCTGTCCGCGGCTCGAGGGTCACGTGACGGGCCGGGAGTGGCCGCCAGAGCACGCCACAGACGCTACACATTTAGTCCCGTGACTTGTGGCCTCGAGCCGCGAGGGTCCGGGCGGCAGCGGGCGGCTCGGCGCGGCCGCGGACAAGTGACTCAGCAAGGAGGATGGCTAGCACAGTCTCCCCCTTTTCCTCCATTCCTACTCACTTACATTTCTTTACATACGTAAGCCTGCCGCGCTGCCGCATCCCACGGCCAGCGCTTCGTCTCGCTGACAATTAGACCCGAGGAACCATGGAAGGCGGGGCGGGGGCGGGGGCAGGGGCGCCACTTCAAATCCCGTCTGTCTCTATATTCCTCTGCGGAGGCAGAAGAGAAGAAGGCTTCGCAGAGGCTTCGCCATGCCGTCCCACTGCGTCCCACTGCATCCCACGCGCGGCGCCCCCGGCTCGCCAGGCTCACCCAGCCGGGAGCCCCCGACCAACGAGGGATATGCAGCCCTCCAGCGGCCGTGCGCGACGGCGGCCTACCCCGCAGGGGCTCGTCCTCGCCCCGCCCGCCGCGCTGCGCCTCCCCACCCCTCGCCGACGAGCCGGCCGGCCCGGCCAGCTCGGCGATGAGGTGCAAAATGCCACTGGCGCTGCTGTCGCCAAGTGCCACGAGGTTCAGTGACCTGTCCTGCTAAATGCTGCCATCGTGGGCCACCCTCTCATCCCCTCGCCCAGCCACCCCTCCACCCTCGCCGCGGCAACGCCAGGCAACGCGCGACCCGCCGGCCGACGAGCCATTCTTTACTGTCGATGGCGCCACTACTGGATGATGGAAACTCTGGCGACGCTAACAACCCAGAAAACAACAACAATAACACACATTCCTCCCCTAGTTATTTTGGAGCGCGGCCGCTGCTGGACAAACGGCGCGTCCTTGTCACTTCCGCCACGGAGCTCCACTACACTGTCTTGGCCACGCCGCGGACATGCCTCCGATTGGCATCACATCGCGCACGTCGTGCGGACACGTTTGGAGAGGCAGTGACACGGAGGCCGCCCGGCCTGCTTAGCTTGCGAGGCCTGCTTGGCTCGGCCGCCACAGCTCGATTCCAATAATTAATCCTCGCCCGCTCCAGAACGCCAAGTCCGCCATGTCGGTACAGGTACAGATGCGCCGTGCGTGACAGGGAGTGCCTACTGGAGTCTGGACGCTCCAGGGCGGCGTGTCGCTCTGGAATCCAGGAAGCGAGCGGCGGCGGGACGTGCCTCTGGGTCCAAGGCAGCCAAGGCTCGCCAAAGCGTGCGCCCCTGCCAAGTCCGAGGTAGGCAACACCGAGGCGTCGCCGTTCAGCGGGGCTGCCTATCCTCTCATTCGCAGGCGCTTCCTGTCGCCCCCGTCTCTCTGTAAGTGTGTGTGTGTGCGCGCGCGCGCGCGCCTGCCCATCTCATTTGCCCAGAATGTGGCCCCTGCTGGATCGCATCTTGTTGGCGTGGGTGCGTCGTTATTGTCTGCCAGCATCGTCGGCCCCGACCGTCCGTCTGCCTGCCTGCTCGGTCTGCCCGGGCCAGCCCGGCGTTCCGGGTCCACGACGTGCACTGCGGACACTGCGCAGTGTACGCACGCCGCGCCTTCTTCCCTTGATGACCGCGCCGCGGACACCGCGACGCACACAGAAGTAATTGCCCGAGTACGTGACGCTCCGCCTGTGTGAGTGTGTGAGTGTCGATTTGGTTTGCCTGTGTGTGAGTGCGGAAGGGCGAATTTTGTGTATTATGTCGTGCCACACGAACAAGTCCGAGGAATTAAAAAGCGCCCACGCAGGGCCCTGTCTCTCTGTCCCTTCATTCTGCTTTTGTTACAAATTGCTGCGTTTTGTGGAGTAGTCTCTCCCGTGTACAAAATGTCCTTTTGTGGGCAACTCTTCGTGAGTTGGGCTCAGTGACTCTCATGTCACACTTGCCCTAAGCGATCGGGGCGGGCGGGGTGGTTTTTAACTTTAGTGTTTTTAGTGCCTGACCCGGTCGACCTGGTCACGAGGCGCAGGGCAGGGTAACCGTGGGCTACCGCGGGCTTTTCATCTTGATCGCGCCCTCGCACGCAACAGCGGCGCCGCCGTGCCACTGTGGGGCGCGGCCGAGCGCGGCGCGCGGACTGACCCCGAAGTACAGCGGAGCCCAGCGGAGCGCAGCCCCGACGGTCACAGCGGTGTCCGTCGTCCGAGCAGAACAAAGCTTGAGCGAACCAACTCGTGGAGAAAACCGGAGAAAGGCAGGCAAGCAACCCCGCGCGGCGATCGGGTGATCCGACTTCGAGGAGCCGGAAAGCAAGGCGAAGCAAGGCGAAGCAAGGCGAAGCAAGGCGGTGGCTGTGGTGCCGGCCGAGGCGGAGTGGCTGGCCTTTCCTTCGCCTTTCCGGGTCAGCGGGTCAGAGGGCGGCGAGGCGAGCCAGGGGGTGGCGGCTCAAGGTGGCCGGTCGCTAATCACAACCACCACGGGCACCGCACGCTGAAACTAAACTAGCGTAAGATTTCACAAAAATCAAATTAAGTAGTTTTACTATTGCTTGAGTAAAATGACAAAAATGTCATTGCTATCATAAATTTTTCGTTTTTGTTTGTGTGCCTGGCACTGAATAGGCTGCGTCACACCAGCCACACCGCAGCGCGCCACAGCGTGACTCAGAGTAGGCGCGGCGCGCGGCGGACAGGACGAGTCCGTGCCGGCCAGGATCACGGGCACGGCGGCACGGGCTCGTGTGTGTCACTCACGATGCACGTCACATTCGACCCAGAGGTCACTCCAGCTGCTTCACCGCTTCGGCGAGTGATCGCTCTGTCTCTCTCCTCCGGAGGGAGTTCCGTAGGAGTGCGAGAGAGACAGAGCGACGGAGCATCGCTGTGCTGGCGCGGCCCAGATCCGCGCACTGCCGCGCTGCAGCGTTTGTGTATGCCTTAACGGGAGAAAAGTCTCGGGCCTGTGTTGGTCGGCGCTCGGCAGTCCCGAAAAAGCAATCCTGGCGCCGTGGCGCTCGCTTCACGTGCGTCCAGAACGCCGCGCCATACAGTTTAAAAAAAAAAAGGTTTTCGAAACAAAATGGCATCCTGATCGCAATGAACACCGCCATGCGGCAGAACGAACCTCGTCTTCCCCGCGGGCAGGGAGACCTGTCCCGGACGCGTGTCCAGGCCTTGATTGAATTAGTGCGCATAATCCGTCAGCTAGACCACGGGCTGCCCCCCCCCCCCCCCTCCCCTTCCCAGTGCAGTGGGCGGGCGGGGCAGAGGCCGTGTGTAATGGGGGAATATCTCCACTCCGGCCGGCATCCATTTAACGGCGGAGTGTGCGCTGGACTGGGGCCCCTCTTCTTGGCCTGTCTCAGTGTGCGTGCGTGCGTGTGTGACTTTATATGTGTGTCACTGGTGCCAAAACGTCCCATAAAGAGGGTACACACGACCAGTGGCTCCATCAGGGGCAGGCGGAGGCAGGCGCGGATCCAGAAGCCAGCCTGCAGGAGGGTCAGAGCGAGGCCCTTTTAAAAAGTGCCGATGTGCCGGGCCAGGTTGGTTCGTGAGGATGAGGGTGGTTTCGACACATCAAACATTTGAGTTTTTCTGCAGCCGCCAAAGCGGAGGGCTCGCGGAGCGGGCTGCCCGTCCATTAGCCGAGTGCGTACAGTAGGCCGACCAACACGAAACGACTCGGGAAACAACGTTTCTTCTCCTGGAAGCGCGTCGCGGCAGAGTCCCGCGAGTGCGTGGGGCTCGGCGGCTCGGCGTCGTCAGGCCTGCGCCAGGACAAAGGACGAAGGCGATGCGAGGCGAGGGCGGCAGGGCGGACGCGAGGACCACGCCGTGCGGCGCCGTGCGTGCGACAAGGACGGAGAGACTCGTCGAGGGCGCCAGAACGGGCAGAACGGGCCGCGGCCCAGTGCGGAGCGCGGAGTGGTGAGGGGGTCTCATCATCCCCGTCGGGGCAGCCCCTCCCCCCTCCTCCCCCGCGCCGGCGCCGAGAAGGCCGAGAAGGCGCCCCTGCCGCGCGGCCAAAGACATCAGCATAGCATGCGTAGGGCCCGCCCGGCCCGCACGGCAATAACATATGAGGGGAGGGGTGAGGGGTGACATGTCGATTTTCTGTCACGTCTCAAGCGGTTTTCAACCCCCGCAGAGAAACAGGTCGATTCGGAGCGGGGACAATGATAATCGTTGCGACATCACTGCGGCGAGGATCGGGAGGATTTTGAGGGTCCCTCAAGGATCGGACGACGCTGGGCTAGACGGGTGGACGGCGCCAACCCCGAACCGGATCCCGGCGACTCGCCTGGCTCGCCTGACCCCGATATTAGGGAGGGAGGCCCGGGACGCTTGTCGGCAGGACGGCGTGCCGTGCCCCGTGCGTGGGGCCGCGGGGTGAACAACCCCCCGATCCGTCACACTGTTGTGGAGGCGACAGGTGAGTACCCCTCCCTAGCGAGGGTAGTTCGGCGCGGGGTGCACACTGTGCACAGGGTGCGTGAGAGGGGTGGGGGCGGGGGCGACGCCCCGTCAAAACAAAAAGCGGCGCAGGTCCCTCTCCCTCGCGGCGTGGCGGGGCCATGGCGGGGTGGGGTGCTGCGGCGCGGCGCCCCCGGGGCGCGCCACAGCGGCGCCACTGTCACCAGTTCGCCTAAGGGTGGCGCCAGCCGCACCCCCTTCACCCCGCCGCCGGCGTCCCGCGGACCCGGGCCCGGCCTGGCGCCGCGCGACGGCCAGCGTCGATCTCGGCGTCGCGTCGCCGCGGCGTGCCCCGGGCCCGACCCGGGACTCCAGAGGCGCCTCCCGCACCGCCTTTGTGTAGATTTAACATGTCGTTTGCGTGTGGCGTGGTGGATTGTTCGATTGGCAGTACGGAAATCGACGGAACGGAAATTTGGGAATGACTGACCAGGGGTCCGTGCCCGGCCAGCTCGCTTCAAGGCGGCATCTTTCGCAAAATTCAGTCCATTGGCGGCTCCAGAACATTCCTTCAGCATCCTGCGATAGAGGGCTGTGGGCGTGATGCCCTTCCTTTCAAATCTAAATGTTCTCCGAATGCGACTGCCCTTGAAGGGAGTAACACCCAACAGCCGCTTTGAGTGCCTGGACCACGCGATGTGCTTTGCCAGCTTTGCCCACCATCACCATCCTGCACCATCCTTCCCTCCCTTCGACGCGCTGCCTCATACCCCTCCCTCCCCCTCGGCGTCGCGTCGTGTGGCGCCGGCACGCCGCCGGGGATGTGGGCCTGGGCTGCCTTGGCTGCCTGGCCCCCGCGAGGGTAGCCAGGGCTGGGCTAGCCAGCGCCGGCAGCACAGAGCCAAGGCCATTGGCCTGGATTCCCTCGTTCCCTCGCGCCGCATCGGACGGACCGGGCAGGACGGACGGGGCGGCAGGGGGATGGAACCGGAGAAAACACGGCCATAAATATCAGTGAGGCTACTGCTGCTGTTGAGCAGGGCGGCTAGTGGCTAGTGTAGTATGTGCCATGCAGTGCCCTGCCCGAACTGCGAACCGAGGCCGGCGATGGGAGGCGGGTGGGTCGTCAGCCTCGCACTCGGTGGCCTTCGACGGGATTCAGGGCTGTTGCACTCTTATTGCACTGCGCGCCAACCTTGCGGGCGTCACGTTGAAGTACGAAATTGGTTCTAAACGTTTATTAAGTTTTCCTTCTTGCCTCTTGTCGAGTTGATGCCAGATGAAAATAAAACCCCTATCACCGATCAGCCACCGCCAGGCCTACTGGCGCCAGGGCGAGGCGGGGTGGGGCGGGGCGCGATGCCTCGGCGTCGGGACCACAACCGCCCCCCTGCGCTATGGCTCCACGTGGAGATGAGGCACCCCGAGAAGAGTCCAGTCACCCCGGCCGGATTTGACCCAGTTCCTAGTTGGGGCCTCCGACCCCAGCCCTGCTCGGCCAGCAACAGCCCCTGTCATCGGATTTGTCCGTTGTCTCTTCAAAGGGAAGAGATGAAGGTTAAATCCCACAGAATCAGACATACTGTAATTGTAATGTGGAATAAGTTTATTAATTATAATACAGCATATAAATGTTTGGCAGTTAATTAAATACGTACAATATGAATACTGATAATTTATCAGTTCTTTAATCCATTGGCCTTCAAACAGCAACTTAGGTAAAAATTCAAATTTCACTGAAAGATGCATGAGCTAGAAACCTGTTTTTTGGTGTACCAGAGCCTATACCCAAGCAGAAAAGACTAAGTTTGAGAGTGCAACATTATTTGACAAATATAGGAAGAAGCTAGTTTCAAGGCCTGACTATAACACAAACTTCATCTAAATCATAAACATTGCATAACAGAGGATTAATGAACAAATAACATAATAATTAGTACAATAACAACAAAAATATCATAAAATTAATATAAGTTATGACACATCAAACAGACACAGACAGGACTAGTAGTTTGGCTGTAAGGTCACACTATGAAAGAAACAATCTCTTTCATAAAGTAAATATGCCTTGCACATGGTTATCACATATCCAGGAAGGGTACACAAGAGAGACCAGGGAGGAAAATGCTTCTTGCTTACTTTCAATGTTAAACACACATCTTTTCATTGATACAACAGACAGTTCATGTCAGTCTTCCTTCAAAATCAAATGGTAAAAAAAATTGGCGCCTGTTTTAAAAGAGATCTCTTGGTTAAGAAATACTGAAGAGGTAAAATGACTTTAAAAAAAAAAGTTCATAAAATTTTCAATGGGAAAAAACACCTAGTAAACAACTGGTTGATGTACAACACACCTAAAAGAAGAAAATTAATTCAAATAAACTTGATCAGGACAGAAAATTAAATTGTTAAACCAATGATAATACAACCTATGAATTGTGTGCTTTGAATTTCATATCACAATTTTAAGTTATTAACATTTATAACCATTGTATTTCGTCAGTAATTAAACTTATTCTGGTGCTTTCTTGTGAGCACCCCAGCCATGGAAGCACTTTGTAAATCGACGAGACTCCTTGTTCTTCAATGTCAGGAACAATTTTCTTGGCCTCTCTGGTTGTTTTACCCTCATGTGTTGAATGTAAACCTGAATAAGATCAACAAAACATAGGTAAATAAAATTCAAATTTCACTAAATGCAATTCTCTATAAAGTATATAGATGACTGTACCTGAGCTGATTTATAAGCAAGCTTAATTTCAACCTCACTGCAACGGGCTCCAAGCCACAAGAATACTTGTTCTCCATTATCTAGTATCATTATGTCATCATCTGCCAAATCATCCTAAGACAAAGATTCTTAAAGTTAACAATCCATCACGATGGTAGGGGATAAGCCAAAGGTAATAATAGGTCAAAGAAAGGAACAAACCTGGCAAAAGTCAGAACATTTTTCTGAAACTGTGAAGTATCCCTTTTCGTTGGAACAGCGGAAAAGACGAGTGTACTTCATAAACTCTGCATCAGTATCATGTGGTTTCTTACCACCAAGCCCCACCCAGAAGAAGTTGTCGGGTTCTTCACCTTCATTTATGTACTGAAGGCTAATCCAAGGCTATTTTTTGTTCAATAGACAAAGAGAGCATTTTATTAGTACAGACATGACACAAACTGCTGCAATAAGTTAATAAATAAACAGCACCTACATTATTGAACATTTCCTCTGCTATTTCTTCAACTAGACGTAGTTCATCAGGGTCTGCTTTAGAACCAAGCCACACATAAATGATGCTGGACTCTGCCTCTTTGTCTAATGGAACTTTAAGAATGTAGCTGAGGAAAATAAGAACAGTTATAAACAGTTTGATAAGAGCAGTTAAGTAAGAACAACAGTGTATTCAAGGAAACAAATGGGTCATAGCTCACCAGAATGCTGAGTTAAGTGTAGTTGCGTCTGGTTTAACTTGGACCAGGCGAGTATAGAGTGCAGATCCATTTGAACGTAGCTGGAAAAATTCCACTGGAGCAGCCTGGTCAGCAGGCTTCTTCTCCTTACGGCGACCAATGTGAATGACAAATCTTCTTTTAAAATGGGCCATGAATTTCAAATTTTCTTGCTGTTGGTGAGTTCGCACCACTTCCAATTTATCCCCAAATAATGATTTGAATTTCTTTTGAAGACTGTAAGAAGGTACATTATGATTTATAAATTTCAGATTTTCAATAATGTGCAAGGAGGAAAAAACAATGGATCAGGAAAAAAACATTAACAAGGCATCCTTTTACCTGAAAGTAAATGTAAGCCAGCCCATATTTCCTGCATCTCTACCTTGCCAGAAATAAACAACACACTGATAATCATCTTCAAGTGGGGCCTGTCTCTCTTCATGTTCATTGCCTTCATTTCCATCTTCATCTGGTGATTCCAAAGGCACCCAGTATCGGCAGAGGAACACATAACAATCTCTACTGTAAAAATGACCTGAAACCCAAACAATCAAATTTATCAACCATAATCACAATAATACATGAATGTGGAGTTCAAACAAAAGTTATTCTAACCAAGCTCCTCTTCTGGTAATCTCACAAACTTCTTTCCCTCCAAAACAAATGATTCCATAGCTTCCAAATCTTCATTCCATTCTTCCATAAGCTGCTGTGCCTCTGTTGCAGGCATGGGAGGTTGCCTTGGAGTGAACAGCGCTGCAAGATCCGCCTGCAAGCATCAATTGTAAGTTTGTTACCCTTCCCTCAATGGATAAAAGTGAAATGTACAAGCTGTCTTACAGTGTTTTACAGTACCTTTGTTTCTTGCTGTCTTGCCCACTTTGTAAGATCAGCCCCTGTCTTGGCAACTGATTCCGCTGTGCGGGTGAAGTCTACAGCTATTACTTCATCCCAACCGCAGAATTTAGATTTAAATAATTGGGTTTCCGTGCCTTCCTGCACTCGTGTGACCCATGCATGTGAGGGCCGTTCCAGCATTGCAAACAGTTCTTGAGACAGTTTCACAGCAGCTGCTCTGACAAGTCTAGTAGATTTCTTACCAAACCTAAATGAAGTAAAAGTGGTAAAATTTCTTTACAGTAGCAATAATAATGCTCAATTTTATGAAGAGTTACATACCAAACAAAAACATCCAAAAAGCAGTCCAAAATGTAGACATTACGGCTCTGCAAAAGAGTGTGCTCCAGCTTGTTGTGGGGAACTTCGACTTGCGGCAACTCCAGATATCCCATACCAAGTTGCACCTGGTAAAGCCTTGGAGGCATAGGAGTGAAGTTTGCATCAACATGTTCTTCAATGGGATCTTCAGGAGGCTCACCATCCTCAAGACCCATTGCAACCCAAAACTCATTATCTTCAGATCCTGCAAGCTGAGTCAGAATCTCAGCCTTGTTTTTACGTTCAGATTTGTTCATCTTCTCAGCCAAGAGTCTGAAATAAAGAGACTATAGGTAAGAAATTTGCTGTGACAACACCAACTCAATCACAAGGTATGAAAAGACATAAGTGTACCTAGCTTTGCTCTTGAAGATGTTCTTAGCAGGAGGTCCGTACCAGAGGTAAATCTTTAAGCCACAGTCAAGAACAAAGACATAGCGAGGGTCTAAAGATGTGCAGGCAACAGCAACAGGCTCCAGGTGAATACCATGACTAGCAGCAGCATGCACTCTGTACAATCTCTTAACATAAATCGTATCCTCAACAGTGAAAAATCCGCTACACGTGCGCCCGCCTTCAATGTACGCAATATCACAATCAAATAGAGCTAAGAAATCTTCTGATTCATCCCCTTGCTCTTCTCGGATCGTTCGACACTGAGCACCAAGATAATTGCGCAAATTTACTGCGTGAATTGCAGCACAGGCTCTTTTGTCCAGCTGTAAAACGAAAAGACCACTTGTAAAATTAATTGAGCCCAGCAATTTAAAGAATAATTAACATGAAATAAATTGCCAAATTACCGTTGCTTTGTCACCAATCCAGAAATATATTTGCCAGGAAAGCTGACCATTGTCATCAACACTAGTTTTAAGTACAATGTAACAATCACCTTCATAGAACTTCCCATGGGCAACTTCCTCAACCTGCAAAATTAAAATGTAAAGACATGAATTAGTTAAGTTTGATACACAACAGCAAACAATACACCAAATTTACAAAACGATCTATACAATTAAAAGTCGTAATATTGTAGTACACCCTCAAGATGACACAAGGAGAAAAGGGGAAAGCTCTCTCTGGCCTGGACTAGGCATTGCAAAACCATGCAATAAGAAATCCTTAATCAGAGTGGGAATGATTGAAACTTACTACGAATGAGCTAAGCACCTCAGGCAGGGGGGACTAACCTTCCTACCTATAAAAGAAAGAGCATCCAGCCTGAACTAGAATATTTTGAATAAGACTGTAAATATTCTAAATATAGTTGACATTCATGCTAAGACGCCTTAAGAAAGTCCATGAAAACTGTGTTTAACACAGTATACAGCGTTACAGTAGGAGTTTTAAACGCAATTCTGGCTGAAAGGCGGCATTCTACTCTAAAGCGCAAAGAGTAGAGAAACAGCAAGTTCAGCTATATTTATTGTTTATTTAATTTAAAAAATCGAGTATATGCAGGGGTGCTTAATGTATATCCAAAGAGGAAGCCTAAAGAGGGGAAACTGAGGAGGAATCTAGCCGTGCGTCATGCCTTGGCTTCACTGCCATCCACAAGCATCACGCTTACCATTTCATCTTCATCCTTACCCCCATTTTGAAACACTTGATCCGAGTATCGAGGAGGATAAATCTATGCAGTAATTTCACAGTCAACCAATAAATACACAGTAACTTGTTGCAGAAGTCTCAGATATTTGTTTCCACCCTCCAGGAAAAATACAAACTAACTCCAATCCAGTAGGTATTTTAAGAAAGAGTAGTATGTCTTGTTAGAGTTATCAAGAGGGGAAAACATGGGTTCTCACCTGATTAGGAAGAAAGTTCTCTATCTCCCAAACAGAGAGGCCTGGAATTTGACCAGCATCTTCATCAAAGAACTCAGAGTAATCAAGAGGGGGTTTTTCAAGGGATTCATCCCATCTCTTAGGCCTATAACAGTACAACAAAGTTAACAACACTGACAAATATTTTCATGAAATCAAAATAAACCAACAGATGGCATACTTCAAGGATTCTGCTTTAACTTCTTCCAATGTTCTTCTGTTCTTTTCCTTTGCAACATCTTTCATACCCTTAATAAAAACAAACAAAAATTAAGCTTTAATAACAAACAAGTGCATTAATTGGTGGCCAAATTACTGTGAGGAAGCAAGCAGTTTGTACCTTCAGGATTTTAGCTTGGTCTTGATCAGCTTCCTCTTGATCACGCCTACCCCTCCTCAGGCGCAATTTACGGGCAATAGGATCTTTGCTGGTACCTTTGACAAAACAGAAGGAAAAAAAATCACTAAAGCATATGAGGTTGTATATTAAAATGGTCTTGACAGAGCTAGCACAATGGCTTACTTTGAGCTGGTTGTGGATTTGGTGCGCTAGCCCCAGCCAGTCTTAACTGGGTCTGAAGGGAGAAGTCAATGTTGTAAAATTCAATGCCTGCTCCACGCCGGGCTTCAGTTGGCTTTGGTGGCATAACCAGGTCTGGGTTATTTCTTAGGTCAAGAGTTTCCAATTCTGCTAAGTGAATTGCGTCTGGTAGAGTTATCAGTCGATTTCCACTTATTATAAGTTTTTTGAGTGATCCACATCTGAGGAAGGAAAGTAATTCTTCAATAGACTTGAATGCATACAAACCATGTTTTTACTGAAATTTCTACCAAAGGAAATGGAGATAGAATTTTGGCTATTCAGACAAACCTGCAAAGTCCCTCCGGAATCATCTCCAATTGATTATTTGAAGCTGAGAATACTTCCAAACTGCCCAATTTTCCAACACCAGAAGGAATACCCTCAAAGTCCAATTTATTGTCATTGAGATACAATCTTCTCAAAGCTGCTAATTTACACAGTGAAGCAGGAAGAGCAGTGAGTTGATTGTCACAGAGATTTAAGACCTCTAAATTAGTCCACATTTCTGAAAACAAGAACAAATAAAAGTCGAGTTAAGGTCTTGTTATTAAAGGCACAATGTTCTTTAAATAAAATTCAAATAAAATGAAAGACCATACCAACTGCAGATGAGAGTTCAGTGATATTATTTGAGCTGAGATTGAGCCTCTTCAAATTTGGCAGAGGATATAAGGCCTCTGGAACACGTGGAAGCCCATTCATAGACAGATCGACATCAGAAAGACTTGTAAGGCTTTCGAGACTGTTTGGCATATTCTGCAAAGTTCTCATAGTGCTACGCATATGAAGAGTGTGCAAAGCTGTGAGAGAGGGAAGTTGTCTTCAAAAGCACCAAATAAAAGAAAAAAAAAGGATTTAAGACGGGGGAGGAGGAGAGAGAAAAAAATATTAAAACATAATCGTGACAGAAAACCACAGAATCTCAAATAGGAACAATTGCAAATTGGCACTCACCTTAATTGAAAGTGACCCATTGGATTGTGGTTTAAGACAAGGGTTTGCAAGTTTGCTAGCCTCCTAGTTTGTGGAGGAAGAGTTTCTAATTGATTATAGCTTAGATCCAGATGTAGTAAGTCAGTCAAATGCATGAATAGTGTGTTTGGTATTTGTTCAATCCTGAAAAAATTTATTATAAACAGTTTATTGGCCCATGGAAGATGAGGCAGTTCCTTTAATAATTAAAACATGATGACACTTACATGTTATGACTGAGATTTAGAACTAACAATGACCGTGCTCGATCAAGACCTTCAGGAACTTCTTTCAAGTTGTTGTGGCTTAAATCTAATGTGCTTAACTCCTCCAAACGAAATAGCTCTGAAGGGATACCAGAGCTTTTAAGTTTGTTATGCCGTAAATTTAATGATCTCAAACAAGAGAGCTCTGGGAGCTCTCCATACAATCTCTCTAAACAATTACGTTTCAGAGATAAGTGTTCCTGAACAGAAATATTAAATGTAAGACAACGAATTTTGATCAAATAAGACACCCAATCGCAGTACTTCAATATTCCACACCAATTTCATGAGATTTCCCATTTCTTCAGGAATTTGGGCAAGATTAACATTGTCTAATCGTAGCCATTGGACACCTGTCATCAGACGGATGGACTGAGGAAATCTTCCATCCTGTGTAGAGAAACACCCAAGATAAGCAATGCAGGACTAACAATACAACTTGGGACACTAAAGTAACTTCAAGTTTACAAATCACAGAAGACCATTTCAAAAAAAGATCAATAAGTGTCGGTTCTTTTCAAAAGAACTTGTTTTAAGAGTGAACAGGTGAAAAAGTACTTAACCTATAAAATAGGTACTAGTTAAAATAACACAAGTGACTTTGCTTCAAACATTTGGCGTTTATTTAGGTTACCTCGCCAAAAGCTATTGAAATGAAATATACTCACACTAAAATCATTCAAAGAGAAATCAACGCCCCTAACAAACGGTAATACGCCAGTATTTGCCATTTCGGTCAACTAAATTTCACTATTTTGCTTTTAACTTCATGCAAATATTGAATCCGTAAGGTATTTCTGTAAAAGTATGACAAATATTGTCAGCGATCTTAACGCGAGGCTAAGCACAACACGGAATGAAAAATTTACTGTTCTCATTTTGCCATTGCTGTTTTGCAGGTTAACCACATGGTGTTGTGTCGACTTGTGCAGACTTGTCTTGCTTCTGTCCGTCGCTGAATGCCGGTTTGAAGAAAATGGGTTTAACCACGCCTCAGGTACGGCACAGACCAAGTGCTCTCAAACAACAAAACAAAGCTCATAAACACGGCCGACATAAAAGCAAAGGAGCTCTGGCCAATGAAAGAAAAGGTAACATGCTTAACCTATGTTATTGACACTCTTGCTTGATCATTTATATTCAGTGCTAATTTTTCTTTGGGTGATCAGGAAAGGTATCTGTAAAAAGTCTCACATCGCGGAACAAGAAAGATCTCGGTAAAGAAGGAAGACGTCATCAAGCAGGGCAAATTCGCAAGAGGAAGAGGGATGAAGTTTTGCTTAAGAAACGAGCTCTTGGCGGATCAAAGACTGCACCCTTTTTGGTAAGTTTCTGGTTAGATCATGTTGCTGTGATTTGTATCGGTAAATTCACAGTGTTGACATGTCCTCCTGTCTTCATCCCCCCATGCCTTGGACAATTGTCTTGTTTAATTGCAGGTTGCTGTCGTGCCTCTTTCTCCTGAGGTTTCATGTGCGGAGGCGATGGAAATGCTTCAAAGAGCAGATCCAGAGGCCATTGTCACAAACAGCCCGTCTAAGGTCGTTCACATCAGGTAAGTTATCCATTTGCTTCTTTAACTTCTTAAAATTTCAACAAAGATTTTAACTTTATGAGTGCTTTTGTTTCAGTGTTCCTAGATTCAAGCAGAGATTTTCATTTCTGGAAGTGACACCAGGTGATCTGTATGCTACATTGGATGCCCTTAAAGTGGCTGACACTGTGCTTTTTCTAGAGACCGCCCGTCATTGGGAAGAGGGTCTATATCCTGAAGCTGAGTTATTGCTCACTGTGTCTATGACACAAGGGTTACCGTCTACTGTTGTGGCTGTTATGGACCTTGAAACAGTTTCGAAAAAGGTATTATTGCAACTTTGAACTCCTTTTGAACTGTCTTTTTGTTTCAATGTAGAGATCTTCATGACATTCTATTTTTAATTGTAGAAACAACAAGAAGCTAAAATGTCAATTCAAAAAGAAATTGGCCAGTATTTGCCTGATGAAAAGGTTTCCGCACTTACCACAGATAGTGATTCTCTGGTTGTTTTGAGGCGTATTGGTGGTCAGAAACAGAAATCCATCACTCAGAGAGATCGTAGAGCTCATATGATGGCTGAAGATATCCAACCTGTGTCAGATACTGAGGTCAGCACCTAACAGCCTTACAAATTTTAATTCCCAATTTCTCATAACAAATTGTTCATTTCATTGGTACCTACTTCTTGTGCCTTTCAGAGGGATGATCAAGTCACTTTGCGCTTAACTGGCTATTTGAGGGGCCAGACGTTGTCGGCTAATCAATTAGTTCATATACCCGGTTGGGGTAACTTCCAGTTGAAATGCATAGAAATGCCAGCCCAAGACCCTCATCCATTAGAAATTGGCAAAAGGTCAGATGATGACATGGAACAAGAATCTAAAGTTTTAGATATTGCTGATCCTCAAAAACAGGTACTTATTTGATACAACATATCAAATATATTGTTTCTTTCTTTTTTTTTTTCTTTTTCATTTATTTGGCTAATCTATCCATGTGTTTTTTTTTTTTTTAAATTGAATAACAATAATTTTGAAGGAGAGCCTTGAGAGTGAAAATGTTCCGGATCCTATGGATGCAGAACAAACTTGGCCAACTGAAGAAGAAATAGCTGAAGCAGAAGCAGAACGTAAAGCTAAGAGAAAAGTAAAGAGGGTTCCTAAAGGATTTTCTGACTATCAGGCGGCTTGGATTCCAGACTGTGATGCAGGTATTGTAGAGTAAATCTTTATTTCTTTCCCTCTAACACAGCTTGCAACTTGCTTTTGATTCAAATTTTCATACATTTCTAGAGAATGCATCCGAAGATGATGAGTCTGACTCAGCTGATGATATGGAAGACCCTGATCTGGATGCTATGTCTGTTGAAGAGAGTGATCAGTCTAATGATGAAGAAGAAAATGAAGATGATTTTGACACTGTGACAGAGGGAGCACCTGATGCAGACAGATATGATGCTGAAATGGATATGCACGAAGAACTTGAAGCACTTAACAAACTGAAAGGTATGTACTTTGCTTCCTGTGTTCCAGTAACAACTTTTTCTTTACATAACAAACATAAAATCTGTACCTTATTTAAATTTGTTTTCTTTCAGATGCCAAAACTCACGCTGAGTTCCCTGATGAAATTGATACACCCCATGACATGCCAGCCCGGCTCAGGTTTCAAAAATACCGTGGATTGCAGTCCTTTCGCACTTCTCCATGGGATTGCAAAGAAAATTTGCCTAGTGATTACGCAAGAATATTTCAATTTGAAAATTTTGATCGGACCCGTAAACGAGTAATGGACAACTTGAGTGAGAACACTGGAGCTATGGTGAGCTTCTCTTAGTTAAAAGCATATTTTTTGTTTGTGCCTAATGTGTTACTTATGCTCTCTTGTTTGTTTTGCAGCCTGGATGGTATGTCACTCTAGTGATTGCTAATGTCCCAAAAGAAGTTGTAGCAGCCCACAAGCCAGGGTATCCCTTGGTTGTCTATGGCCTGTTACCTCATGAACAAAAAATGTCAGTTCTTAACATGGTTCTTAAACGCCCTGCACAAATGACATTTGGTCTTCAAGGGCCGATCAAATCAAAGGAGCAGTTAGTTTTCCAAGTTGGATTCAGGCGGTTCAAAGCCTGTCCCATATTCAGCCAGCATACTAATGGAACCAAACACAAGGTATACACTGGATGTTTTGCTTCATATAACTTCATTTATTACCTTTGGTTGATTATTATTTCAATGCTAATAACCATCTTGCTTATCCTTTCCTTTTCCAGTTTGAGAGATATTTTCAACCTGAAACAGTTGTTGCTGCAACTGTGTTTGCACCCATTACATTTCCCCCTTGTTCAGTTCTGGCCTTTATTGAAAGGAAGGATGGAACTCAGGTGTGTTAGCTGTCATGCATCATTGTATTGTCTGGTTAATTTATTTTCTTCTCCCAAACTAACTCCTTTTTTCACTTTATTTTACTGCAGCAATTGGTTGCTACAGGAAGTTTGTTATCTGTGAACCCTGACCGCATCATTGCAAAACGTGTTGTCCTGAGTGGACATCCATTCAAAGTACATAAACGCTCAGCTGTGATCCGCTTTATGTTCTTCAACCGAGAGGACATTAATTGGTTCAAACCTGTAGAGCTTAGAACTAAGTATGGCAGGCGAGGGCATATCAGAGAACCTTTAGGTAGGCATCATTATAATGTTGAAATGATTAAAAAAAAAAATGAATTTTTTACCCTGTTATGTACTTACTAACTTAACTGCTTTATTTTTGGTTTAAGGTACTCATGGCCACATGAAGTGTGTATTTGATGGACAACTGAAGTCTCAAGACTGTGTCTTCCTCAATTTATACAAACGAGTTTTCCCCAAGTGGACCTATGACCCATGTGTTGCTGCACCTGACCCCTTATTCAAAGCTTCTCTTCGTCCTATCACAGAAGAGGATGAAGAAATGAGTTAATTTAACTAAATATATCTCTTAAAATATATTTGTATATATTGTTTACCATATAGGTCTTTAATTATTATTGAATCTTGGATTAATAGTGATACCAATCATATTAAAGTTGATATGAACTAGAAGAGTTATTTTCACTCCCATGCTTGCCCTGCTGCCAGGTATAGAATTTGGCACAGTCGAGCGGGTCTATGTCGGGCAGCGCAAAACGCAAGCCGATTGGACGTAAGCGCGAGTGACTGTCACTTTCTGTAAAATGTCAAATCATGCGCGCTCCGGGTCGGTAAACAGCTGGCATCATTCGCCCCGACCCGACCGACTTAATGGTCAGGAACAGCAATGGGAAACCGAAAGGGGGACCCTGGACGCGGCGGTTTCCTGATGTGCAACCGCTGCCTTGTCCTGGAAGAGTTGGTCCGCGGAGAACAATCCTCAGTCAGGACTTGGAAAATTGTAAAATGCTTGGGAAAGATCCAGAGTGCACACGAGAGTGGAGGAAGTGACCGGAAATGACACGAATTTTGTCAAAATTTCGATTCAATTGTTCAAGTGTGGAGTCCGTGACAATGAGAGGGTACACGTCCTCGCGCCGAGTCTGGTCCAAACCGACCGCATTTATTTGGCCGCCGGTCCTCGAGTGTCGCCCGGAATCCCCGGAACCGGCGCCGCCCCCTCCCCCCCTCTCCCTGCCCATGATCGCGGTCGGCTTCCGCCCGCGCCGGACCGAAGCCAAGCGGTACAGACGCCCCCCACCTCCTCTTTCCTCTTTTCCGACTTTTGCACCGCTGGGTCGCTGAGTGCCACGGCGCCCTGTCGGTTTTCCAAAACCGACGCAAAATGAGGGGCCCTTCGTCGTCGTCGTCCTTGCCTCGGCGCGGTGCCACCCCAAGCCGATTGGCGTCTCTCCGATAATATTGTGCAGAGTGGCGCTTCCCATTGTGCACCGCGGCACCGGGCACCAGGCCGTGACCCCCAGGGCCAAGTCCACGGCGCCGCCTGCCACCGCCACCAGGCTTCTCGCCAAAAAGGAGGCGGGCGTCCCGTTAGCCCCGCGGCACGGCGGCCTCCGCGCGCAGCGCGCAGGGCAAGACGAACAAGAGGGCCGCGCCGGCCGTCCTGGCCTTTACCCTGGCCCGGGCCTTGGCTGGGCTTCCCTGCGGCGCGGCGCGGTTCGGCGCGGTTTGGCGCGGCGATTGGGATCTAGCAAAGCCGCGAGGGTCGCCCGCCACTCGCCACGCCGGGATAGGACGGCAGTGCGGGCGGCGGGGCGGCGCGGCCAGCCAGGGAATAGAATTAGCGGCCGGGCAAAGCGGAAGGGGGAGGGGAGGGGAGGGCGTCGCGGCCCGTGCGCGTGGTGCGGCGTGCAGTGCGTGCGCGACCCGCTCCGCGCTCCGCGGCTCCAGCAGACAGCCCGGAGTCCGCAGTCCGGTACAGTTCAGTCCCCTGCCAGCGCTGCCAGCACCTGCACCGGCCTGGAGCCAAGCGCGCCGGGCCCGCCGACTACCCCGCCGTCAGCGTCAGCGCGTCAGCCGGCCGCCGCTGTGGCGTCGCGACGCGTCCAGCCCAGCCGAGTCGGGCCCCCTTCCCCCCTTCCCCTGCCCCCTGCCCACGGTTCGGTGCATTTCCCCAGACCCCCTTGCTACGCCGTCCGCACCGCGCCGCACCGCGCCGAACCGCGGCCCGTGGAGCAGTCGTACCCGCAGGCCATCCCCGGGCACCGCGTCCAGCCCGGCAGACCGGCCCGCCGACAACGACAGCGACAACGTGGTCCCGCGCTCGACGCAGTCCTTCCCCCGGCTGTCATGTGGCCGCCTGCCGCCCGGATACACCACCACAGCCTCTCCTAGCCGGCCGACGCCGACGCCACCGACCCCCAAGTCGCCCCGAGACGCCGCCGTGCCGTGAGGCAGCGCGCCGAAGAGCAGCGCACGCACTCAGTCCAGGTAAGCTCGCCGACGACGCCACCCTTGGCGTCCAGCAGGCCAGCAGGCCTTCCTTGTTAGTCCGCATCGGCGGTGTTTTTGCAGGGCTTTTCAACAGCCGCCATGACTGCCGTTTTTGCGTACCCTGGCTTCGGCCGTTCTCTCTGTTTCCTTTCCGGTCGCCGGTTGGTCACGGCGTGGCTGTGCGCGGCGTGGCGGCGTCGCTGCCAGTCGATTACAAACCCGAACTGGGAGGCGCGTTTCTTATTCCACGTGTCAGCAGAAAGCAGTTAAGCTGCCCGCCAAACTTAGAGGCCGAGTGGCCGCGGTGCAACCGGTGTCGCCAAGGGCCTGGCCTCTGGCGCCTCTGGCCTCTGGCTGTCTGGTCGCCCCGCGCCTTGCGCCACATCCTCATTAAGGGAGTAGTTGTGTCCATGGCCAACGAGGGCGTTAACTCGGCGCCAGGCATTCGGGCCTTCGGGCCTTCGGGGCGCATTCTCTTCAGAGAGTCGGCCCCGCGCGACAGCGCAGCGGGGCGATGGACCCCCTGGCGGTAGGCCGTCCGCACGCACCACTGTGCAACCACCAAAAGGGTGGCCTACCTTCAAGGCGCTCGACTCGTGCTCGCAGTCCTCGCCTCGCAGTCCTCGTAGTCCTCACCGCGCTCCAGTCAGACGCGAATAATTGGATTAATTTGACGCGGAACGTGCGGGGCTGCGGGGCGTGGTGCGGGCGGTGGGAGGGAGAGGGCCTCTGGGAGGTGTCCGTGCCAACTCGCCGCGCAGGGGTACGTCGCACCGCGTCGCACGCGACGGGAGAGGGAGAGAGAGAGGGAGACGGAGACAGAGGCTCTCAAGTTCAGCTCAGGGCAGCGCAGGGCAGCCACCTCTCCGCGTTGCTTCTTGCTCCGCGTGTCCGTCACCTGTTGCACAGGTGGCGGCGAGAGCTTTACTGCTTTCTGCCTCTCTGTCTCTTTCTTTCCTTCTCCGCTCGAAAATCATTCGGGCATTATCGTGTCCTGCGAAATTGCCGCGCAGACATCAATCTTCCCGTGCCGCTGCCGTTCTCGCTTCCTTCCACTTGAAAACAACAACGACCGACAAACCGCCTCGCCGGGGAAAAAAAATCTCCGGGAAAACAGCGAAAAGAAGAATGAAAATAGCGCGGGCCGCCGTGGCGGTTTTCGGCTTCGGCCGCCTGTCCTTTCGGGAAGAAAGTATCGAAAGCGAAGACGATGTGATGATTGGGCGCGATTGGCGGAACGCGAACGCAGTCCGAGTCCGCGGAGCAGCGGCGGCGAAGAGAACAGCACCGGGAGGCGGACGACGGCGACGTCGCCATGGCGCCTGGAGACAGGCCGGCCCGCCGCGCACGGCCGCCGGGCGGTGCGGCCCACCCCGGCAGGGGCTTCCTCTTCGCGCCTCCCGCCCTGGTCGCCGGCTTCGGCGGAGAGACGCGACACGGCGAGACGGATCGCGGGGCAATCCAGAACAAAGGATAAGGCAGGCCTAAGGGTGGCGCGGTCCTTGTCCCTCGGCCGACGTTCTTTCCCCTCTAATTTCACGCGGCGTGCGCACACGGCGGCGCGGCGACACGGCGGCGTGACGGCGCGACGCGCGCCTTGTCACCACCGCGACAGCCACACCAGCGTCGCCCTTCGCCAGACGCCACACCAGCCGCGCGACGCGCTTGGCCACGGCGAAAGCAGCGAAGCAGCGAAGCAGCGGGCTCAGCAGGCAGCACTTTGTAAACAAGCCGGCTGGCCGTTCCCACGCGCCTTGTCGACCCCGCGGCCCGCGCCGCCGGGGGAAGAGAAGAGCCATGCATCTCAAGGATGCGTGGAATAACAACTAGGATCCCTATGACACAAAACAAAAATTTCAAATTTTAAAGGAGCAACAGTCCAACATGTTTTAATATTTGATTTGTAATACTACTAAGTGACTGATAATGACGTTAGTATGCGAAAACCGTGGCTTGGGCCGGCTTGGGCCGGCTTGGGCCTCCGAAACCCCCCAGAGGCGCCCCCCAGCCCGCGCGCCCCCACGCCACGGTCCGGGGCACGGTGCTCGGTGCATGGCGGCTCGGCGTGGCAGAGGCCCGGGCCTGGGTCAATGCCTGCGTTCCCTTGAGCCTCCCGGAGTGTACTGCAACAGGGGGAGCGAGGAGAGAGGGGGGCCGCTCCGCGCCGCCTCACATGCCGCCCGATTCGGACTGCGGCGGCAGGCGGCAGGTCCGGCAGGCCCGGCAGGGTGGCCATCCGGGCGCAGTTTGCATCCTGGCCGCGCTGCCGCGCTTCCGAGGGGAAGGCTCACACGCCTTTTTCCCGGCACACGCCAGCAGCCGTGCTGTGCCGAAGAGCCGCTTCGTCGTTCTGACTCCATCGCACTCACAGGGCGTTCTGTAGGGGTGCGAGAGAGAAAGGTTGAGGATTCCTCGAATGGCTCCGTGCAGACGCCCGTGGATCAGCTGTTGACGGGAACCGTCATAATGGTGGACGGGGAGGCAGTCCCCGCGCCACGTCACCGTATCGTAACGGTGTCCATGGTGTCCTGTCCACGGCGTCCACGGCGTCCACGGCGTCAACGGCGTCCACGGTGTCAAGGCCGCCGGTGGCGCTGCCCGGCGCTGCCCGGCGCTGCCCGTGTGAAAGTGCGAGCCAAAGGCCGGCCGGCCGATTCATCAGCGGAGTGGCGTTCTTGGAGGCTCCAAGCGGGCCGCTCTTGAATGCCAATGCGGCGAGTGCGGTCCTTGAGGTCCTTGAGGCAAAGACAAAGGCAATCGCGCCGAGATTGTATCGCGTTTTTGGAACGGCAGTTTTGAGGTGCACAATGTTGATGGCTGGTCTCGGCGCGGCTCGGCCTCACTGGGCATGCGAACTTTGCGTCACTCTCGCCTTCCTGTGCGGCGCAGTATGTCAGCTCGCGGTGACACAACGAGACGGACAGAGACACCGCCTGGACAGCGCGCTCCCAAGGGCCCTCCGGCTGCCGGCCCCGCCCCTTCTCACGCTGACTGCCACCACCCCTCTGGCCCAGCAAAGTTTCTTTACTATCATTTCAGTTTCCCTTTCGGCGCGCGTGTTTGCGACCGAGTTTTCCTCGTCCGCAAGTTTCACGCCCAGTTTCGCGAGTTGGAAAACTGGATTCGGATTCGGATCGGGCGCGCGGCGTGTGTGAAAAATGAGTGGAAGAGGAAAAAGCGAGAGGCGGACACGGACGGGCGGGCGGGGCGGACGCGCGGGCCGTCGGGCGGGGAGAGCAGAGGAGAGGCTGCGCAGCCGAGTGGCGGAGTGATTCCCAATGTGTGGCGCTTTTTTGTCGCCGGTGCGAAGCCCGGTGGGAGAGGGGAGGGGGAAGTCCATTCATTGCACCGGTTTAGCGCGGCCGCCACTCTCATTGTGCCGCCGGCAAATTAAATTGCCACCGCCACTGCCCCGTCGGCGTTCCTCCGTCGCACGGCGGAGTCATCCACGGCGTCGTCTCGGCGGGGGAGGCGTCCCCGGCGTCGGCGTCGCCCGCGCGTTGGTGCCGAATGGCGCTGGGTGCCGCCGGTCGGGTCCGCGGTGCCCGCGCCCGCGGCATAACGGTGCCTCGGCCAGCGCGGCGCGGCGCGGCGTGCTCCGGTGCCACTATTGCTGTCACACGATTCCGAAATCGTGTGAACTAGCGGTGGGCGTCGCCACGCCGCCCCGCCGCGCCACGCCACGCCACGGTGCGACAACGCACAGTAACGAGGGACTCGCCGAAAAAAAAGCCGACACAAGCACGCACGGTTTTAACCTCACTAAGGATTTTACTGCACACAGATTGTTTGATTGTGTCGGACTGATTGGGGCTCTGCATGATTTTGACGCGCCTTCTGCCTATTTACAGGCGTTTCTGACGCAGTGTGATTGCCTCCTCCTGGCGTGCACAGATTGCTTAAGTGGGGGACCCCTTTCCTTGACCACTTGACATCGCTTCTTTGTGTTTTCCGACGGTAAGCGTGATTGGCCGTCGCTTGGCGTGTCGGGCAAACGGACAAGACAAACAGACGCAGCCCGCCGTTAGGTTTCGGCGCGGTGCGCGTCCTTCCGCCATGCTTCCGCCCGCCGCCGCGTCCAAGCTCGCTCCGCGCTAAACGGCCCGCCGCCCTGCCGCCTGCTCAAGGCGAGGAGCGCAGAACGCTCTGAGACTCGTCCCGTTGCGTTCCCACGGGACGAGAGGATAGCCCTGCGTGCCCCGCGGGAACTCCCACCGACGCCAATGTGGATGTGGACGTGAATGTGGATGTGAAGGTGCCGTGGTGCCGTACGCGCAGTGCGCGGCCAACCCTGGAATCCGAAGGCCCGGCCGGGCGCTTCCAGCCGCGCTGGCCGGCCAGCCAGGCGGGACTTAGAGGAACACTGCTTCTCAATAAAGCACACAAGGGTGGAACCGAGAGTCGCCGTGCCGTCGGTGCATTTTGCCTTGGTGAAGGTGAAAGCGGCCGTCCGGATGCGTGACACGGACACGGCGCTGACGCGGGACGCGGCGACGCGGCGACGCGGTGGTGACAGTCTGATGGCTTCGGCACGTCCACACAATGAAGCTGCCGCCTCACGGCCGGGCCGACTAAACCAACACGATATTTGGGGCGGATAATGCACGGTCGACTAGGCTCACGGACCGCCCCGTCACGCCGGGAGGGGAAAGGGGGGGGGGAGTCGCTCCAGGGCAGGCACGCCCGCCCCGCCGCGCAGCGCTGCGTGGCGGCCTACCCGCCGCTCGCAGGGGTGGAGGGCGAGGCTGAGGGCGCCGCGTACCGCGTACCGCGTGCGCCGCCGGTGACACGGCCTGGCCTCTAATTGCGTCTGGAAAGGAAGAGTGCTGATGGCAACGGGGCCGTATCGCATCGCGCGGAGAGAGCGCCCTGACACCGTGACTCCGTGCGTGGAGGATGAGGACGAGGACGTCGAGCAGGGCGACAGGCTCACTGCGAGGGTGAAAGTCTGGCCCTGCCCAACCTCCACCCGATTCGCCCCTTGTGGCCCCACACTGTAATTAGTGCCGTGCCCTCGCAGGATGACGCGGTGCTCGCTGCTGCTGGCGGCCTGCATGGCCTGCCTGGGGCTGACTAAGGCCGCGCCGCCCGCCGCCCCCAAGCTGACGCTGTGGACGCCGGGGCACTTGGACGGCCTGCACGACGCGCTGCTGCAGGGGACGCCGCTCCGGGCGCAGCTCACCGCCCTGCCCGAGGCCGAGGTCGTGGCCGGGGCCGACACTCGGCGCGGACGGCAGCGGCCCGCCGCCACGGCCAAGCTGTCCCTGTGGGTGCCGCGAGGCCAGGAGCAGGACGCCGCGGAGGCCGCCAGTGAATGGCAGGTAAGTGTCGCGGGTCGCGGGTTCGACTGCCAGCGAGGCAGGAAACGCTTTTTGCAGTCACCGCGCTTCGCTCGACGAGACGCACCCGGTTTCGGCGATTGCCACACAAGCCGAGTCCTTGCCGCCGTGGCGCGCGGCGCGCCGTGGTGGTCCACTTGCAGCACAAGTAGTCCGTGGTCCTGGTGCCGGTCCTATTTTTGCGACCCGGGCACGCGTCGCCGCGTCGCCGCGCTTCGCGGGCTGTGACTTAATTGTCCCCTCCCCTCCCCCCTTCTCCCCGATCCGTCCTCCTTCTGCCAGTCGTCGCGGTCGGCCCTTTATCATTATTGCCTTTGCAGTGCAGCGGCCCGTGTCTTGTGCACTTGTGTCCCGATGCACGCAACCAGCTGAACCACACACCGTTATGGCGACAGCATAAAATTTTATTTCGTTTCTCGTTTTGTCGGCGGCAGGTAGATTTGCCTCGTTTCAGGAAACAAAAGCCCACCGAGATGAGCAGATGCCGTGCCGTGCCCTGCCGTGCCGATAGGCGATACGTCCGCGCCGGGCGCTGCTCCGCGTGTATCGCCCGCGCCGCCGCTCGCAGCGCCAAATGGGTGAACGACCCGCGGCCAGTGTGGCGGTCAGCGGGCACTCTGGCTCCACGCGGAGCCGACCGCAGCCGCCGCGCCACGCCACGCCACGCCACGCCAAGCGCGAGTCCTGCGCCTGCGGCTGAGGCTGAGGTGGCCGTCGGGGTACTTCCTCTCGTTGACCCTGCCTTGATGTGCTCCAGGACGAGTCCGCCATGGTGGTCCGTGAGGCCGCCCAGGACGACGGAGACCTCGAGGACGACGCCGTGCCCATGTCGACGTCGTGGCTGAGGGACAACGGCCTCGCCGCGCCCTCCAGGATCGCCAGGGCGGCGACGACGTCGTCGCCGGCCGGCTCGCGGGTCGTCCCCAGGGCACTGGGCCACTTCCGGCGGAAGCGCGCCGCCTCCCCAGGTGCGTGTGCCGCGCCGTGTGTGCCGTGCCGTTTGGCGCGCGGGCCTGGCCGGACCTGGCCGGGCCTGGCTACATCCGGTTGCCGCGGCCAAATAACGAAATCCGCTCTGCCGTCATGACAGGCCCGAACGAGGCGAGCAGCGAGGACGCCTCGGTGGCGGCGGACAGCAGCCAGAAGGTGCCGCCCCCACTGCAGCAAGCCAAGGCGGCGCGCGGCCACCAGTTCATCACGGGCCGCAACGAGAAGGAGCCGCCGCCAGTGGTCCGCGAGGTGGAGGTGCCGTCGTCGTCGTCGGGCACCTCCGGCGTTCAGCGGCCCGGCCAGCAGGATGCCAAGCAAGACGCGCGGTCGCCGCCGCCGCCGCCCACGCACTCCTCCCCAGTGCAGTCGGGCTCCTCGCGCGTCGGCGCGGGCAGGGACGCCCTGGGTCTGCGCGTCAATGAGATCCCGCAAGGACCAAGGTCAGTGGAGAGCGTTGAGGTGCAAGGGAGCACCAGTGGCCTGGAAGTCTGATGACGTTATCTCGTTTCAGGTACTCTTCGGTGTACGAGGGCGAGACGCTGCGACACGCCGCCGACCACCGCCACTACACGGCGGATAGTTACGGCAGCCTGAACGCCTACTCCTCCAACTACGCCGGCAGCTACGGCAGCAGCAGCAACCTGGCCGCGTCCTACCCACCGCCGCAGCCACCCCCGCCCGCGCACCCCCGCAGCGCGCCGACGGCCACTCCGCGTCGCATCATCTACTACGCGTCCCTGCCCGACCCGGTGCCCCAGCCGAACCTGCAGCAGTACCAGCCGCAGCACTTGCCGCTGCCCCAACAGCTGCCCGGCTCGTCCAGGGTGCCGCACGAGTACCGCGGCCCGCCGTACGACGTCAACGGTGCCTACTCGTCCGACGCACGCTACCCGCCACCGCCCGGCGACAACCCCTACAGGTTGGGATCAACCCACCGAAAGTAGAAAGAACACTGTCTTTCCTGTTGGACTGAGAAGTCAATTCATTTTCCACACCAGGTACACCATCATCGACGCCGAGCCACCGGGCCCGGTGCTGGGCGGGTACCGGTCCAACGCGCTGCCCTACCGGGACCGCCTGCCTGGCGCCGGCCCCGCCCCCGCCGCCTACCCGCAGCCCTACCGCATCAACCCTCCGCTGCAGGCCGCGCCGCCCTCTCCAACGCCGGACGCGGGGCCGCAGGCCGCATCCCCCATCCAGTACACGCAGTACGACTACAACGGAATTGGTACGTCAAAGCCAGGCCTGCTTAGAAAGCTACGCGCCAACATACTATGCTGCCTCTCATTTCCCTCGCTAGTCTCTCTCGGAGTCGGGCGGTTCTCTTCGTCGTCCTGTCCTACACTGTCGTGCTTTGGTTCTTCCTCTCTGACTGCCGAACGACTCCCCGTTCCGGCGCACCGTTCCGTTTCCTGTTTCTCGCACTCATGTTGCTTTGCTTTGCTTCACTCGCGGTGCTTTGCCGCGTTGCGCCGTGCCGCCGTGCCGCCGTGCTCCCGCAGGTGGCGTGGCCGCTCACTCACCCCCCGACCCTATGTCCGCGTCAGGCGCGCGCACCGCCACGGCCTCCGCGCTGCTGGACTCCAAGCAGGGCCTGCCGCTGCCGCCCGGGCCGCCCCTCAGCGACGACCCGTACAGAGGCTTCAACCCGCGCCAGCCCGCGCCCTGGTCCATGCAGGTGAGCTCAACGTGGAATGCAGAGAGCCTGGGCGATCCTCCGGCACTCCGTGCACTCACTGTCCTTGGTGGCAGGTCGGCACGCGGCTCACCGTCAAGGACGACGGCTACGGCGGCGGCAGTGCGGGCGGAGGGCTGCCCCCCGCGGCGCGCCGCTTCTACGTAACGAGCCAGCAGCAGCCCGGCTACGGCGACGCGCTCTACGGCCCGCAGCCCGCCCGCTTCCCCCGGCCTCTGGACCGCCCCGGAGCACTGCAGGGGCTGCAGGCCGGCTCCGAGGCCCGCAACCGACTGTACCGCTGAGAGTCGGCGCGACAGCGCGACAGCGCGCCAGGCCGTCGTTGAGTGTGCTGCAGGCGGCTGCAGGAGACAGGAGACTGCGTGCTCGGCCTTCGGCGAGGCCTTCGGCGAGGCCTTCGGGTCTTCGGGTCTTCGGAGACATCGATTCATACCGCGCGCGGGACTGCGAGATGGGCTGGACACACTCGACGAGTGGGAGGACGAGACCAGCTCTCGTTTCTTTAAGACTGAAGCATCAGTATTGTTCGCTCCTTGAGAGAAACCAAAGACGTCCGGTCCGGCGGTATCCAAAGTAAACTAATTTAATTTTGGTTCTTCTTGTCAGGTTATTAAGCTGTATGTTATTTATTGATAGGTTATCTCCGTAATGTGCATGTACATACGTTTTCTCCATCCTGATCGATGGCGAATAAGCATAAGAAAGCAATACCCGTTTTAGTTTTGTGGAAACAGTGTGGATGCAAGGTCCAGCTGTCAGACCGAAGCTAGAGTAATGAATCAATACACCATGTGTTTCTTGTTTTAATTTAAAAATAAAAGTCTAGGTCAACTGTGAATTTTGAATCTTCATAGCACTTTTTCGATTATTGAATGTATATGATTGCAATTTGTCTCAAATCCCGTTCTGTGAAGGAAAATATACAACAAATAAAATAATCTGATACTTTTTCTAAAGTAACTCCTAAAAAAAAGTGAATCCCAACTTTTCTGCCTCTTCTTTCTTCCCCCTCACGTGCCAGAACCGAACACAACAGTGATCTCTGCGACAGCGACACCGCGAACCAATCCCAACTTTTGATTTCCGATCCGCGAGGTGTCCGATGGGTGGTCTACCCTCTGGGCGCACGTCTGCGCGCCTGCGCGTGCCCAGCTGACCAGCCACCCAGTGCGGCTACAAGAACGCCACGAATGCGCCACTCGTTCGCAAGGCTCGGCGCGGCTCTGTGGCGCCTGCGAGGTAGGCCACCAATCCGGCCTGCAGCACACCGGAGTGGAGACGGTGGCCTACCGTGCCCCTGTGAAGAGACGACAGGGGCGAGGTAGGCCACTGTCTCCACACCGGCGTGCTGCAGGCCGGATTGGTGGCCTACATCGCAGGCGGTAAACCCCGAAAAAAGGCAAGTCGGGTCAGTGTGCCTAGTCGTTCTGTCGGCTGGCCCCGGCGCAGATAGGCCACCATTCCGACGCGCCGCTGCTGTCCGCACCACGGTGGCGCCGTGGTGGCAGGCAGCCCATCGGGCAGCCTTCGGGCAGCCGGCGGCTGGGCGTGGGGTATGCTGTCCAGGCTTTGCCAGGCTACGCGTGCCGCGTGCCGCGTGCCGCCTCTGGAAGTCCCCGGCCGGCGGGGCCGCTGAGGCCGAAAGCCTGAATCGCGAACGGGGTCAAGTGTGAAGCATTAAACGGGCAAACCGTGCAGGATCGGACGAAAAGAAGGCGGCAAGGAGGCGCGGCGTGGGCGCGGCCGACGCGGAACGAGCCCGACGCGGAACGGGTTCGGCAAAATGTGGTCTTCTTTCCATAAGCATCGAGGCGTCGTCGTTGTCGTTCCGGGGGTGCGCGGCCCGCGCGGCCTGCGCGCCGAGGCAGGGAGATCGCGCTTCGCGCATCGCGCAGGAAGGAGAGAAGCCATAAGACGCGGGCCGTCGAAGACGGTCCAAGAGTCCAGAGCCTGCCGGGGCCTGCCGCCGTATTTCAGGATCAAGGAAGATATTGGGAGCAACAGAAACGGAGGGGAAAGTTTGAAAATGGAGAGACAAGTTTGTTATACGGAGTGGATGTGTCCGGGCGCGTGCTGCGTGCCGCGTGGAGCGCGCGTGCCTGCCCGGCCTGTGGCATTGTCCCTGCAAGTCCCGCGCTCACCCGCGCAGCCGGCGCTAGTTTGCTAGTCCAGCAAGTCGCGGAAACGGCTCGCGTCGCAGTCAATGCGCCGCCAAGCGCATCGCGCCTAGCCGGCCAGTCCGCAGCCAGCCGGCAGCCAGGCAGGCAGGCAGCCAGCCGGCACCGACGAGATGATTGCTTTCCCATCGACTGGCGAGGAGTGCAGAGCGGCGCAGGCCGGCAGCCCCGGCAGCCCCGGCAGCCCGCGTGTGCGTCGAGCATCACCGACCGTAGTACTACTAACCGTTGTTGTTGTGCTTCATAATTTCTCACCGCGAGCAACGCACGAGCAAGGCACCAACAAGGTGACGGCATTGGAAATCGACCGGCGCCTCGGGGCTTGTTGTTGTGGGCCGAGGGGCCGCGGGGCCGCGGGGCCATAGACGAGGCCAAAGGCCGCGGACGCCGCGGAGGCCCTCAAGACCGGCAACCACTACGGCAGCCACTTTGCCTGTTATGTGAGTGCTCACTGGGCACGCCGTTCGGTTAGGCACTATTACGGGATTCATCGAAAGATCCGCCATCACTTTCTCTGCAGCCACACTCACTCACTCACTCACTGACTCACTCACTCACTCGCTCACACACTCACTCATTCACTCACACACGCACACGAGGGTGATGGTCGTCACACGGAAGCGGTCCACGCTACTTGCGGCCGCGCGCCGCAATCGCAATAGCCGGGGAGAAGGAATCGATTCGATATCTGGTAATAAGGAACCAATCAGACGAGCCGATCATTTATTTCCATGAGCTGCTGCTACTGAAAGTTGCCACCGCACCGAGCCGCACCGAGCCGAGTCGAGCCGAGCCGAGCCGGGAGAAGGTTTCGCTCGGCTCACTGTAAAACGGCGGTCATTTAAAAGCATGCACCCGGCACAGCAATGCACAGCAATACACAGCAATGCACAGCATTGCACAGCAATGCACAGCAATGCACAGCAATGCACAGCAATGCACAGCAATGCACAGCAATGCACAGCAATGCACAGCAATGCACAGCAATGCTCAGCACGGTGATGTGAAGCCGAGCCAATTTCTCCCACTGCCTTGCCACTGAACTGCACTGCCACTGCACTGGCCACTGCAGCGCGGCACCACCGGTACAGTAGCGCATTTTCCTGGGTAAGCAAAACGAAGTTAACTTGGGATGATTCGTCTTTCCTTGGTCCAAATCACATCCCTACGCACTGTTCCGTTTAAGACCAACTGTCTGAAAAGTTTGACCTGTTGTTTGAAATTTGAATTAAGACTAGCAAGTCTGAATGTTTAGAGCGATGGCTATCAAGTTTTGTACATTGTCGTCCGAAAACTAAATTCATACTTGTGAAATCGGAAAACGAGTGAAAAAACCCCGTCCCCTTTGTACATTTTTCGATTTTCTCAGAACTTTTATCAATACTTCTGTTGTATTTCAAATAATATTTACGTTTAGTGTCGTAAAAGCATAGAGAATGTTTCAGAGCTCCGAAATGGACACTTATTGCTCTATCCGCTAGGTGGCGCTAGTGTCGCATGGATGATCTTTTGGAGCTAAAATTGCCACTTGAAGGCGAAATTGCGAATATTTTGTTACAAACTTATTCCAAGTGATTGTCTGAAAGAGCATGAGCGCACCAAAGCAAGATTCAGGTTAATAAGTGCAGTATAAGCTAAATAACAAAGAATACAATTTCACTCTCGCGCATGGCCACGGGTCGGCGCGTGGTTGGGCTAAGGCCGCTCTCCCTCGCAATTCAGCAGTCACCTCTAGCCTCTCCACTACCTTTGCAAGTAGGAGTCTACTGCCGTGCACCTAATTTTTGAGCCGAGACGATCCGCTGAGCGTCTACGATAAACCGATGGCAAAAGTTCGCCGATTTGTGTTCTACCTCAGAGTGGCATTTATTTCATGAGCTGCTGCTACAAAGTTCCTCCCGCACCGAGCCGCACCGAGCCGAGTCGAGCCGAGCCGAGCCGGGAGAAGGTTTCGCTCGGCTCACTGTAAAACGGCGGTCGTTTAAAGCATGCACCCGGCACAGCAATGCACAGCATACACAGCATGCACAGCATGCACACAATGAAAGCAATGCACAGCTGCACAGCATGCAAAGTCATATGCACAGCATGCACAGCAATGCTCAGCACGGTGATGTGAAGCCGAGCCAATTTCTCCCACTGCCTTGCCACTGAACTGCACTGCCACTGCACTGTCCACTGCAGCGCGGCACCACCGGTAGCGCATTTTCCTGGGTAAGCAAACGAAGGTTCCGTTGGGTTTTATGATTGGGCTCCTTGGTCCAAAGTCACATGCGCATGCACGCACTGTTCCCGTTGTGTTTTCTTCTCTATTTCTCTTTTTTTAAGGGGGGGCCCTCTTGGCGCATGCAGATTGCAACACACTCACACACGCACACACAGACACACAGACAAACGCACGCACACGGACACACTGCAAGCAGCACGTGCGCACACAGCCGTTCATTAAGACAGCGAGCGTGCCTTCATTAAGGGCCCAAAGACTCAACCGCCTCGACACACACACACACACACACACACACACACACACACACAACGAACCCAACGTCGAGTAAGTTGAGCCAAAGGCGCATTTGGCTCACTGGGCCCGAAGGCCCGCTACAGCCCTCGGCATGCCACGCGCCCGACCTTCGTCTGTCTCTGTCACACGCTGCTGTCGTACTACTTCAAACACCTGCGGGCTTCCCTGTGTGTGTGCGCGCGTGTATGTGTGCGTAGTTTCTTGTGAGTTTGTTTTGGTGTGTACGTGTGGACGTGTGTGAGTTTGTGTGAGGGGGAGGGGGAGGGGAGGCTTGTGTTTCGGAGCAGAGCGTGGTAGGCTGGGTGCAGCAGGGGCCTGGGTACCGGGTACCGGTTGCATACGAAGGAAGGACATGGAATTGCTCGGTTTCCCTCGCTTTCGGTTTCGTTTGGGATTTGGAATCCACGGCCGTGGCACCAGTGCCGCGGCACGGCAAGGCACGGCGCGGCACGGCACGACGGAGGGCTCTGCTTTCTCCCTCTACGGTAGGAGTGCGCCTTGCGTCGCGCCTTGCCCCGCGCCTCCAGCAAGTGCATGTGCAGCCAGCCCAGCCAGCCCAGCCAGCCAGGCATGCGGCGATCGGGCG